TCCTGACGTTCCGCACAGACGTTCGCTCCGTGACGTGGGCAGCCCTCACCCCGTCCCTCACACGCGACAGCGCGCGCGTGCCTTCTCCGCAGGCGCCTCCCCGCTCCCGCACTGCTCCCCGCGGGTCTCCCCACCGTCACCTCCTCCCCGAGGCCGCCCTCACACTCCCGCCTCGGCCACCTCGCCCTGACCGCCCGCCCCGCAGGACGCGCACGGGAGATGGCCGTCCCGTCCCGTCCCGTCCCGAGAGCTGCGCCAAGGACGCTCCTCCGGACCCTCCGCTGCGGGCTCGCGACACAGCTTACCTTGTTGGGCCCAGAGTCCTGGAAAGAACCAGAAAAGACAGAGTCTGAGGCCCCGGGAGGGAGCAGGCAAAGGACACCCACCCACCCCCACTGCCCGGCGCCTGGCCCTGCCTGGCACGGACCCTGGCAGCCCGGGCAAGGGCTAGCGGGACCTTTGGGTCACTCCCTGTCACCTGGCGGCTCTGACGTACTCACCCCTACAAGCGGGGTCCTCGGAAAGCTGTCCTGTCCTGTCCCAGCCCCGGACCTTACCCATCTCAGGGGAGTGGGCCAGGCTGCCCGTCCGCACTGAGGCCTGCCCAGCACCCAGCGAAGTCCCTCACCCCCCAGAGCCGTGGGCTGCCCACAGCAGGTCAGCCAGGACGGGCCTTCCCAGAGGACCTCGGAGCAGGCGTGACCCCGCAGGGGCCCCGTAAGGAAGGTGGCAGTTCACGCCCTTCCCATTTTACAGGCTCCGGGCATGATGGGGCTACTAGCCCATCAATGGCTTTGTGACCTCTTGCCTCCGGCTACCCCTTGACCTAGGCCAGAGCCGGCGTGGGCACAGCTGTGACAGTCTCCCAGCACCCCTCGTGGAGGTCCCCAGGGTGCCACCCCCCACTAGGCCCTGGGAGCCCGGAGGCCGCTTACCATTTCAGCCAGTGCGGAGATGACCTTCCCCAGCGTGGTCAAGGACTTGTTGATGTTGGCGCCTTCCTGTGTGCACAGGAGACTGTCAGGGTCAGACCCCGGGTGGTCTTGCTCCCAGTGACCCCAGGGCCTGATCTGTACAGTGGGTGCGGTGCCCCACTGCTAACTCAGAGCCACCACCGCTGCAACCAGAGGGCAGTTTGCTCCCATTTCTCAACCTGAGGACACAGTGTGCCCAACACCAGCCAGGCACATCCCATCCTGGGACCATGAGACTTCCCCTGGACCACCCCTGGCCCAAAGGTGCCCGCCCTACCTTGAGGCGCGTGCCCTTGGCCCCGGTGGAGTCGGCACGCTCGCTGCCGGCCAGGTCCACCAGGCTGATCTTGCTCACCTGCAACGGAGGACGCCTGTCACTGTCTCCCCACGGGCTTCTATCTGTGATGGGATTTGAACCCGGCACCACTCATCCCCTCCAGGCAGCTGTGCTCCACCGGCCCCCGCTATGGCCACGCAGGGACAGCAGCTGGGCAGAGGGCTCTTCAGAGCTATGGGATGGCACTGTCCGGAGTTGCCCAGAGGGCCTGGTGTGCAAGGCCTCCCAGAAGGAAGGTAGCCCCCCAGGGGCACCCCGCACTCAGTGCCACAGCCCCGCCTGTCTCCGCCCCTCTCAGGGCCCCCACTGCCATGCCCCAGCACCTGCACAGACCACCAGCTGCCCTGGCTGGGACCCCCTGCCTCCCCCCCCACCTTCTCGGTGGTGATGTCGGTCTCCGCGTCATGGCGCTTCTGCGTGAAGATGATGTTGAAGACGGCGTGGGAGCGGCTGCTGGTCTCATTCATGTTCGTGGCTGCCACGGTCCTGGGGACAGTGGGGTGGAATGTCACCTCGTCCCCCCTCACCCTGGAGCTGCTGAGGAGGGTAGTGCCCCCTGAGGGACAGCAAGTGGCACTGCCCGACAGGTGAGGGCACACCTCCTGGCAGAAGCTGGGGGAGGCGGAGGACAGGTGTGGGCAGGGCAGTTGGGCAGGCATCCTCACACGCACACCTGGCCTTGTTGCCCGAATCCATGAGGTCCTGGATGTCGTTGTAGGAGGTGACGGCCAGCTTGGAGAGGTCCTCCACGTAGGGCCCCAGGAGCGGGTGCTCCCTCACCCGCAGGTTGCCCTTGTTCTTGGGGTTCAAGAGGTCGCGCACACGCTCGCAGTAAATCTCCATGTAGCTGACCTGCAGCACAGAGGGCTCTGTCGGGCTCCCCTCGAGGACACAGGGACACAGCCCCCGAGGGCACCTGAGAAGCAGCCCCAGCCTACCTGTCCCCCAGCCGTCCCAGAGACTGTCAAAACCAAAAATACCAAACTCACGGCCGTCAAGCCAATGCCAACTCTGAGACCCTACAGGGCAGAGTAGAACTGCCCCTGTGGGTTTCTGAGACTGTAACTGTTAACCTCATCTTTCTCCTGAGGATCGGTTGGTGGTTTTGAACTGCCAACCTTGTGGTTAGCAGCCGGGGTAACCACGACGTCTCCAGGCCTCCTTGGAGATTATCAAAGACACCAGTGGAGTCCGGTATTACCCAGAGCCCCCACCACAGCACAGCCCCCCAGCGGGGCTCCTGCTCCCACTGCCCCCAGGTTCTGCAGACACACTGACCCCGGTTGTCCGAGACGGCTGACAAGGTACGGGTTCCTGTCTAAGCCTGTCCTCAGCCGCCCCGCCCCCGTGGGGGACACAGGAGGGGCTCACCTCCACAGAGTAGGACATGTTGTCATTGGTTGTGTCATTGATCCTGGAGAAGAGGTCTTCACAAAGCTGCGTTATCATCGGGAGGACCAACAGTGATGCGTCAGGCAACAGGGCTGGGAGTGCCAGGGACCCCAAAACCAGACCCCCACAGAGCCCCGGGCAGCATGCCCTTCACAGCACTTCCATGGCAAAGCCCTGGAGCAAAGCGTCCCCTTCTGTTCAGCCAGGGGCCCCATGCCCACCCCAGCGAAGGTCCTGCCCACGGATCACACTGCTTCACCCCCTCCTTGGACCCAGGCCTCCACTGTGCAGGTGGTCACCCTGTACAGCCCACAGAGAGCAGCAGACGTCGGGAAACCCTGGCCAGCTGGGACCAGACATACACCGGTGGGCATGCCATTCTGTCCTCGGTCCCAGGTCTCCAGCCCTTGAAGCCGGTTTGACCCTCCCTAACCAAGCATGGGGGCTCAGAGTCTCTCCCAGGCTGCTCTGTGAGCTTCCCTCAATCTCCTGCCTGCATTGTCCCCTCACCGTCCCAACAGGTCCCAGCGTGTCCCTGCAGCCCGACTCCGACATGCACCCGCTGTCCCACGTGGCCCTGCAGCCCCCTGCCCCGCCCCTCGGGCCGTGCCTGCGGGATGATGCCCTGCTGATCCTTCTCCTGCTTGCCCATCATGGTGTAGGACTTGCCGGCACCCGTCTGTCCATAGGCAAAGATGCACACGTTGTAGCCCTCGAAGGCATGCTGCAGCATCTCCTCGCCAATGTCCCGGTACACTTGCTTCTGGGAGGCGTAGTTGATGTCTTCAGGCTGGGAGACAGGGAGGGCAGTGGTCAGAGGCTGGCGGACATGAGGGCTTGGGCCACTGGGTCCACCCCAGACCCCCGTGTCACAGCTGGCTCACCGAGGTGTGGGACCAATAGGAGTAGTCGAAGCTGAAACTCTTGGGTGTCTCCTTAGGCTGCTTGGGATTGACGATGGCTGCAGACAGAGGCCACACAGTGAGTGGGGAGATGGGGGTCGGAGGGAGCCCATGTAGACAGCCCAGCCCAAGAGAAAGGGGGGCCCCAAGGCTGGCCAGGGAAAGCTCCGTGTCCAGGCAAACGAGCCACTGCCCCTCCCTGTCCTGGGTCCTGGAGCCTGCTACTGCTAATGGCCCTCAGCAGCCTGCAGCCCCCACTGATGTCCCTGGGCTGGGACCCCAGAGAGATGCTGAGGGGGTCCCGGGCCTACACCCTCGCGTCTCCCCAGAGGAGCTGCTGCTCGGCATATTTGGGTCCTAGAAGCATCCGGGAGGGCCCAGAGGCCATGCTGTGAACCCTGCTCCATGTCAGCTGTGTGAGAGGTGTGGGGGCTTGGCTTCCAGCTGTTGTGGACTTTGGGGGTACCATCCACCTCACTCTGTCCCCTGTTGGAAGACCGAGGTCCATTCTTATGAACAGAACCCATGGGACAGCTACACATCACTCCTGCACAGGTCTCTCTGTGGTCAGACCAACCCCTGCACGTAGGGTTCTCAGGCACCTGGAAACCCCCTCCCCGGGGCAGGGCCAGGGCAGGTGTCCCCAGGGGCATGCGACTGACCACCATGGGGCAGGGGCAGGGCAGGTGGCCTGGTTTCAGCTCTCAGAGGCATGGCTACCGGAACCCCTGTGTGGGTCACACTGCACTGCTGTGGAAACAACAGTTGCCCTCCGTGAGCCAGAGCCACAGATGAACTTCCGCGACCCCCACCCCACGCCTCCCATGCCCCACGCTCCTCTGGCTTCCAGGAGCATTGCTCTGTGGCCTCCTGATGCTGGGGTGTTTGCTGAACCCCACACAGACACAGGGCCATAAAGTGGGGCCCCAGGGACTGACGCAGGTGATGACGCACGGGACAGTTGACAGAGCAGGACAGTCAGAATGGTGAGGGGTCCAGGGCTGCATCCGCCATTGGCACCGCCTGGCAGAACCTCTCAGGCCCCTGGGTCCCCCCTCCTCTGCTACCCCCTGCACAGCACTTTGTTTCTGCCCTTCCCCCACTTCTCTCGAGGACCTGTGGCACCAATCAGAAATGCCCTGTGCCATTCAGAAGGGTCACCAAGCCCGGAGATGGGCTTCCTCTCCCTGGTCACACCACAGGAGGGAACCCAGAATGCCCCAGGTCTGCTTTCTTCAGCCACTCCACGCACACACACACCCCAACCTCCACCCCAGAGGCTCCCTGCAGCCCCTCTCTCCCAGCCTAACTCCCAGTACACAGGCAGCTTCCCCAAAGAAGATGCAGTCCTGTGGTAGGAAGAAACGGGTCCCCAGGGCCTGTGCGTGGGCCAGCTCTGGTCAACACATTAACACACCCCCACCCCATGGTCCCCCAGGAGCTGGGCCTCCCCAAACCTGCCAGCTTCCCATACTAAGGACACGAAGGCTGGCGCCCAGGAAGGATGGAGAAATAAGGGCTTGGGGGTGTGTTGGGGGGCAGTCTGGCTTGACTAGCGAGGGGAGCCGATGGGAAATAAAACAAAGCCCGCTGGTCACACACACACACAGACTCACAGCGAGCCCCTGTGGGTTTCTGAGACTGTAGCTGTTTACCAGAGTAGAAAGCCCACTCTCTCTCCCAAGAAGCTGGGGCCATGTGGGTCACAGGCCAATGCGCAGCCACTGCGCCACCGTGACAAGACGGGGTGTTCACATCATATTACTGCAGTTCGGTGCCGCCAAGTAGATGCCGACCCATAGCGACCCCAGGGGTCACCGGCCCTTCGCTACTGGGGCCACAGTATTAATGCATCTCACGGAGGGTCTTCTTTCTCCGCCCACCGGTCCCTCCTGGCAGTGCGTCCACAGCACGTGAGGCCAGGTGTCACATCGCCCCTTCGGAGGGGCATGCTGGCTGTCCACCTGTTCGCCGCTCTTCACCAGCGCCGTGGCTCAAAGGCATCGATCCTATTGGCACCTGCAGACCGTTTCTTGTTTGGAGGGCTGACCAAAGGGTACAATACTTCGTGGGCTTCCCAGGTGCGGGAGACCCGCGGAGCTGACTGGGGTTGGAGAAGCCGTTGGCTCCATGTTGACACTCTTGCTTGTCCTTCTCTCTGGGTCCCCAGAGCAGGCACAGGAGCCGGGGCCTAGGCACAGCAGGCCTGCAGCTTCATCCGGGACACTTTCCCTCTGCGAACACCTCTTCCCCTTGGTACAGAGATGGGGCTCCTCCGAGAGCAGTCCCCCCAGAACCCTACCAAGACAGCGTGGGATGGAGGAAGGCCTGGGGTCAAATCCTGGCTCACCTCTCGTCCAGAGTCCTCAGTTCCCTCCTGCCACCAGCAGGACACGGGCAGAGACAGAAAACCACACTGACCCCAGTCTCCTAAGTGGCTTTCTGAAGGGCTCAGACATAACCTGGGGTCTGAGCCTGGGCTCAGGGAGTGTCCAGCCCCCACCCCATTCACTGCTGTGGAGATGGGGACATTAAGGCTCAGAGGTCACAAGCCCAGAGCACAGGCCTCCGTCCTGAGCGAACCCCAAAGTCCTGCAGGGGGTTGTCGTGGGTCTGGTTCTCAGGTGAGGTCAGCGGGGCCACATCACCAGGCACCTTGAGGGCCTGAGGGAAGAATGAGAACTTTCTAGACGCTTCAATGTCTGTCAAATTAAACATTTCTAACGGAGATACAATTGAGAGAACCGAGTGTTGTCTCTTCATCAGCCAAGTTTTGAGGGTCTGCCAACACCCCCTCGGGGCAGGGCACCCCTTTGCTTCCTCAAAAGGACAGCTGCTGCCAGGCCACCTCTCTCCCAGTAAATGCTCCCAGGGCCAACCCAGCTGAGCGCGGCTTCTCCGAGTGCACTGGGCAGATGACAGTGCTGCATCCATCCGCCACACCCAGCTACCTGTATGTCCACCCCGGCCATGTCTCCGGGCTTCCCTGCCCTCCACCCAGACCCCTGAGCCCTCCCTAACGCTGTTCCTGCAGGACGCTTCCCTGCCCTCCACCCAGACCCCTGAGCCCTCCCTAACGCTGTTCCTGCAGGACGCTTCCCTGAGCTCACCCAGACCCCTGAGCCCTCCCTAAC